TGGGAAGTTGGCTCAGTGGTAGAGCGCTTGCCTTGCATGCATGAGGCCCTGGGTTCAATTCCTCAGCACCACATAAGCAGGAAAAAAAGCCTGAAGTGGTGCTATGGCTCAAGTGGTAGCATGCTAGCCTTGAGCTGAAGAGCTGAGGGACAGCGCCCAGGCCCAGAGTTCAGGCCCCACGCCGGACCCCCCCAAAAATAAAAATAAATAAATAAAAAGAAATGTACTCATTATCTTTTTTGTTGGGAGGGGGTCCGGTTGTGGGTCCTGAACTCTGGGCCTGGGTGCTGTCCCCTCAGCTCTTCAGCTCAAGGATAGCGCTCTACCACTTGAGCCACAGTGCCACTTCCGGCTTTTTCTGCTTATGTGGTGCTGAGGAATCAAACCCAGTGCCTCATGCATGCAAGGAAGCACTCTATCACTGAGCCACCTTCTCAGCCCCTGTACTCATTATCTTGACCATGTAATTGCAACCCCTTGTACAGTATTTTCACAATTAAAAGAAAAGAACACAGGACTTGAAGTACATTAGATCTTACTCTGTTACTAATTAGTATGTTAGATGAGTCTTACCTCATCTTTAAGCCTTCATTTCTTTACCTGAACACTAAGAATGAAGAGGTATGCTTTTCTTTCTTTTTTAACTGGGGTTTGAACTCAGAGCTTGTTAGGCAGACTCGTTACCACTTGAGCCACAGCCTCCTACCTACAGCTTCTTGCATATCTAGGACCAGAGATAGGTACTAAGATGACTAGCATTCTGATTGAGGGGAAAACCATCATCACTAACTTTTTGCTCAGATTTGCCTCAAACCATTATCCTTCCTCTCCCCTTCTCCCTCTCTTGAGTCCTGAGATTATAGGCATGAGCCACCATTCCTGATTTAAGAACTAACCTTTCCCCTTTTATTTTGCTTAATTATTTTTAAATAGTTGTACAAAAGGAGTTTCAACTCAATATGTCAACTTATTGATACATTACATCTTGATCAACGTCACCTGTTCTAACATTCCCTTTTCTCTCATCTGTCTTAATACTACTCATTCTCTCAAATTTCCTGTAGAAAAAGACTAATCTGAAGGTTCCTCTGGAGGTCTTGTAGTCTGTCTCCCATCCTTCATTTATAAGTGAATGTCCTTCTTAAATGCATCTTTAGGTGTAATTTACATCTCCATAGCATATTCCTAAACTGCCACTCTCTCCTTAGATCTTTAATAAGTGTTGGTAGAGTGGTGAGGCAGCTAACCAGACACTACTGTGTGCTGACACTGAAGTCTATGTAGCTCTTCTACTTATGTGTGTATCCTGTTACCTGAACCAGTGAGAAACCACCTTGTGGATGATAATTCACTTGGAATTATAATAGAGAATCCTAAAAAATTATTGGAATTTGTTGATGCAGTACAATTTGATTATATTAATAGTGTTATACTTTCAGGATCACTGTCTTTTTCTAGTATTTCTAATGGCAGCCAATGATCTATGGAGCTTCAGAAATCTACTTGCTTCTCTATAAAATAAAAGGAGGAGATACTACTAGCTGTAAGATCCCTCCTGTGTTATTCTTCCATTAAAAGTTGTTTGTGAGTTCAGAGCATATATTTAGTAGAAATCACATTCTTCTTAGGTGCACCTAGTCCTGACATGCAGGTTAGCTTGGACTGTACTGAGCAACTTTAGGGCCCTATGCTGCAGGTGGATGGGTGCCAGCAGTAGTCTTTCTTCCTTCCTTCCTTCCTTCCTTCCTTCCTTCCTTCCTTCCTTCCTTCCTTCCTTCCTCTCACTCTCTTTCTTTCTTTCCTTTCTTCCTTTCTTTTTCTTTACTTTTTTAAAAATCCAAATCTTACTCTGTTCTGGTCAAGTCTCCTGAAATCTGTCATCCAGGGCCACTGTCTCCTCAATATGTTCAACTGCTTCTCTTTCCTCAGAAAGATTGTTTCAATCAATAATAAAAGCTATAATGATCATTAATGATGAGTAATGTAAACCAATTGCCTGCTTCAAAGTAGAAATTTAAAAAGTGTAGCTGTCACTAATAGTATCATATTTATATTATGGGAAGAAAGTACTTTTTTATAACATAAACTTAGAGTTCACTTTTTATTTTACAAAGTAACAACATATATCAACTATTTATAATGTTGGAAACCTCATGAGCAGGAATGACTTAAAATACTTTTTTCTTTTAATTAAAAAAATCAATAATGCCATGGGAATGTTTAATTTCTTGTAAAAGGAACCTGGGGCAATCAATAGCATTTCTTGGTATGGATATTACATAAAGCTGAAATCAAAGCCAGCCTCAATATGGTGAGTCAGAAACAGGTAATGGTACTCAGGCCAGAAAAGCCTCCCACTCAGTTGGAGACAGTCCCAGAAATATCTAAGATTAGACACCCAGATGTGGTCTTGAACTGTGGCTGTAAGGCCTGGGTGAAGCTCTAGGGGCTGTCTGACTCTACATTGAGCCTTCGTGATTTTATTCCTCAGCATTAAGTTCTAATAGAGTGGGAATTGTGCCAATCAGGTGTCTATTGTTATTTTTTTGATCTAACCAATGCCATCATTACTAATGGATAATTACTATCTGTGTTCTCATCTCTTTGATTAACCAAATAGCAAAAATAAAAATACAGCAGATGCAGGCATAGATTAATAAAATACAAAGGCAATAATACACCAACTAGAAAGACACAACCAACAAAGTGACTACTAGTAGTGAGGGTAGTAAAAAGTTGGTACTTGAATGCAGATGTTGATTAATATGAGAAAAGTTAATCTGAGTTCTCATCCCTACAATAATCTGTGTGACTCTGGAGAGATTGCTTACCTTCTCTGGGATTTAGGACCTTTGGGCCTACTCTAAATTCTAGTATTCTACATTCTAGATTCTGAGACATTTAGTGGAAGGCTCTTTCCTTCTGTTAAGTGGAGCTTGCCTTTTTTTTTCTTCTTTCAATACTGTAGTTTGAATTCCAGGCCTTGCACTTGCTAGGCTGGACCTTTACCACTGGAGCCACACCTTCAGCTCTTTATACTGGTGTTTTGGAAATGCAGTAGAAAGTACAAGGTGATCTTCCACGTCTCTGCCTCCAAATTAGCTAAGATTACAGGCAAGTCAATGGTACCCAGGTTTTAACAAATTTAATATCATCTCTTTGCTTGTTTCCTTAATGAGTTCCATAATACTCTAAACTTTGAGTAATAATTTCATTTTAAGGTTTTATTTGGTTGCCATTCATTCCAGAGATCCTTGTAAGCATATTTTAAAAATAGACATTTGCATTAAAAATTGATTGTTATTATAAAGGTGGTGTGCCAAGGGGTTACAGTTATGTAAGTCAGGTTACGACTACATTCCTTTTTGGACAATGTCACCCCTCCCCTTGCTCTCTGACATTGTTATTTCAGTGCAACTGAGAAAAGGAGAAAGTAGCAAGCCCTGTCCTATAATCAGAATGATGTCCTGTGGAGACCAGCCACCTTCCACTGTTTTTGTAAATTATGGAGAAAAGTCCACTTCTCTCTGAATTGTTGAGGCTTTTATTAAAATTGTAATTCTCAGGCCTCAGACCCAGCCATTCGGAATCTCTAACTATAGCTTGAAAATGAGCTTTCTTTTTTTTTTTCTCATGATGACCATTCTTTTTCTACTGTCTTAAGTGTAATTTAACCTCATGAGTCCGAATGGCTCTTCTTAAGGAATGGCTGTTTCGATACAGACAGAATATAAAAAGTCACATATATTATTAGCCAACTGACGAGGGAAAAAAATAGTACGGTTCTGAGATTTGAAAAACGCGTTCTGAACTAATCCAAGAGGAGAGAGACTTGAATATTGGGAATCGCTCTGGTTAGAGAAAGGACGGGATAACTTGACACACGTCTCTCGTCTCCGTCCGTGGAGGCGCTTCTGGGCTCCGGTGATGAATGTGTTCATTTCATGTGACTTGCTGTGGGTACAGAGCCCAGTGCCCTATCAGCGCTGCAGCCCGTGGCCAACCGCGGCTGTGTGTGCGCACTAATGACGGGCGAAGGGGCCCGGGGGAGGGGCTGCCCGGCGCATCGCCCCCGGCTCTTCCTAAGAGACGCAAACCCTTTCTCTGCAGCTGGGCTGGAAGGCTCAACGCTTCCCCTGCAGAGCAAAGAAGCCATCCGTCTAAATCATCCGTCCTCCCCCAGCCCTCCCTTCTTCCTCCTCTCCATTGTGCGGAGCCCTCACCGTATAGTCCAGCTTCCTGCGTGCAGACCTCCACCTACTCGCTAGGGAGCCGACTTCACCCCGAGTTGCAATGGAGCTGTACGGAAAGGTAAGTGGGGGAGAAGGGAGTCGCTCAAGCGTGCTCATCGAGAAATATCGCTCCGAGGGACGTGTGTGTGTGTGTGTGAGTGTGTGTGTGTGTGTGAGAGAGAGAGACAGAGACAGAGAGAGGGTGTATGTAGTGTGTATGTGTGTGCGTGAGTGCGCGCGCCTCGCTTGCTTGCACATCTTCTCAATGCATTTATGCAGGTTCGCTTCGCATGTGTGCCACTCCTCGTCACTGTCCCGCGTGTCTGATTGAAAAAAACTGTTAGAGCTACTCCCTGGAAATGTGGAAACTTTCCGGATTCCGGATGGGGAGATGGAAAGGCGCCCAGTCCCCGAACGCTTCGTGGGTATTGAAAATTAGCAAAGTAACGTAATCCCCAGCCAAGCACTCACGGTCTGACTTCCCAAGGCGATAGTCAGCAAAGGAAAATAACTGAGATACACTAGGGTCACTTTGCGTCCGTGTAGGGCGAGGAAATGGGCTGGGAAGACTGGGAGCGCCAAGAGACCGGGAGCGACCGGATAGCCTGGGAAGGGAGGCGCCGCGGGCGGGTGCTCCTGGAGGAACGAGCTCTTCTTAGGGCTAGCTGGCTTACCGGGTAATGTAGTTCAGGGATCCCCTGTTTGCAACGGAGCTCTACAGAGAATGGAACTACAACTCCCAGAAGGCCATGCGACTCCCGGCCAATGCGCTTGTGCAATGCCAGGAGAGGACAGCTCCGGGTGCTGATGTTGGAGCGGGTTAGCGAACCCCGAGAGCGCCGTGTGTGGAGCGTGGACCGCGCGGGCTGTGCACGCTTGACCAGCCTCCAGGAGCAGCTCTGTCCTAGTCAGAGAGGAAGGACGTTTGCCTACCATGAGACACGAAGCGCCCATGCAGGTGGGTCGGTGAGGGAAGCATTGCCTCCGGGGGAATTGAGCGAGCGAGAGAGAGGTTTTCCTTCTGGTTCCCGGCACGGAGCGAGCACGACCCGGGGGGGAAGGTCTGGACCTCCCCGCGCCGAGCGGCCGCTCCCTGGTTGGGTCCTGGAGAGACGTGGGGTCCTCGACCTTCCCTGCGGCTGTGGACGAGGACTAGGGGCTGTCTGTGATCTTTCCCGCCTCCGTTCGGGACCGAGGGTGTTGGTGTCACAGGAAAAGCAAACAAAGTCGGGGGAGCGTGCCCGCCTCTCAGGTGGCCATGGGCCGTCCCTCCTGGCCGCCCGGGGTCGTGACTGCGGGGTGCCCCGGCGGGTGCGAGGCAGAGGCGTGGGGTTCCGGCCGGAGAGCTCTCTCCACAGGAGTCGGTCGGGACACGGAGCGTGCTGCTCGGCTCAGGACACATTGAAAGAAAGGGAAGCTTTTAGGGTCTTCAGTTAGGGTCCCTGGATGCGGGGCGGGGGGCGAACACGCATGCCAGCCCTTCCCCTGTGTCTGTACAACCGGCTTGTACTCGATCGGAGATGCCCTGCCCTTCACTGTCCCGCGTGGGGTGCCCATTTCTTTTACGCGCGGATCCCCCGTTTTTGTTTTTTTCTTTTAAATTTCATCTTGGGTTTGCTTCCTTAAAAAATGCACAGGCGCCTCCGCTCCAGCACCTCACGCAAGTTTTGTTTTTAATAAAGGCGAATGGTGTTTCTTGTGTCCGAGTACGATCCATTAACGCTACACCTCGGTCTGTGTTCACTAAGCCGGTAGAGTGAGCCCATCACATAACAAAAAGGCGTTTTATGAATGGGGTTGAGAGCAGACTAGATAGATCACACCATTTGGAATGCGTTGCCTCTTTCAGAACCCATCTTGCTGCCAAACCCAACGACATAAATATTTAATAGTAATCTAGGCTCAAACGTTTTCTATAGTTTCTTCGTGAGCCAAGAGTTTTAAACACCTGCTTCAATTTACTTTTATTTTATGAGTTATGTAGATTAAGGTGTCCTGACTGGACTGTTAAAAGAAAAAAAATAGCTGCAGGATGTAATTGTTTGTGGAAGGATTATATAATAGAAAGCCCTCAAATTACCTTAAGAGTTATTGAAAATTTGATTTCTTTCAGGGGACCATGGCTCATTGTGTGTCTTCTAATACCTTTATCTGTGACTTTGTAGATGTGATATGAAAAGAACTTGGGCTTACAATAAAGGTACAGCTGTTGCATTCAAGACATATTGGCTTATGATAGTTTTTCATTACTGGGGTAATGCCAAGATCCAACTAGCTAAGTTAATCACATTTGATATAAGTAACATTGGCTGTAGACTTAAAAAAATAAGTTAATACACGTCACTATGTGTATGTATATCCAGCTCTCATGTTGTATATACTAAATTTATACAGTAATAAAATTTTCCAAAATGATAAAAAATAGAAGGAATAAAGTCGATTATTAGATTCGAAAGTGGGTACAATGTAGGCATAGCAATGTTTGTCAAAATAAATAGCTAAAAATTAACTACATTGTATTTTGATTTTTTTGTAAATTGGCTTAGAAGGTTCAGGGGGTCATTAAATGTTAGCACAACTATGTGAAATTAATGCTTAAGGAAATACTCGCAATGATATATGTAGCCACTAACTGTTAGTAGGTGCCATAATGCCCTAATTTAGTTAGAAACTTGATGAAGAATAAATATAAAAATTAGGTACAATAGAATTAATTTGCTTACGGGTAGAGTAGATTTCTTATTTATGGTGTTTTGTATTTAGTAAATGAATTTTTGAAATTGAAAATTTTAAATTTCTAAACACTATCATGGGGAACATATACATTTTAAGAAATTGAATATTTTTATATATTTAATTAAAGCACATACATTGATTCATTTTAAGAAATGGTTGTTATAGTGACCTCTCTCCATTGTTATCAGAGCTTATATATATATATATATATATAGACTATAATCATTATGTAATTTTTTAAAACAGCAAATAATGTCCCAGTACCTCTACTTCTAGTCATTACATTCCAGGTGACTTTGAAGATATAAAAATGCAAAAAAAAAAAGTTCACATTCCTTTTTTCCAACTTAAACTGAATTACATCATTTAAAATATATGACCAAAATACTTGGTATTTAAGCTTATAAAAGAGTTACAAGCAAAGCATTATTTTATAATCCCATTATCAGGGGATTATTTTTTTACATTCAGAAATACTTAGTTCATTTGCTGATGAAAAAGTACTTTTTAATTTCTTGGCTGATTTTCTAGTTTACTTATATTTTTGAAATCAAAGAATTCTTTGAAAGAAATTATATATTATCCTTTTAAAAGCCTATATAAATAGCTGAGTATTCTGTTTAAGATAGTTGCCTTTGATATATGAATATCCCAGACAGAATACTTTTTTTTGAATTGACAGAAAATGAAGGATAATAGTTGTTTTTTAATAGTGGCTACTAAAATAATACATAATGATAATCTTGTATATCTGTGTTTTCTTCATAATGAAATAACCAGGAATAGCATTTGGTAATTGTCCCAAGTGATAAGCTTAGAATTTTAATGCAAGAGATGGTCATTTGCATCTTCTCATTCAGTGTGTGCACAAACCATGAGAACCAAATAACAGGGAAAATAGCAATGCTCCTGACTTGAGTGCCACACTTTGGCTGCAACAAAGTTTGATTCAGGAACTAGATTGAACCATCCTGTTTGTCTTCACCATGCATTCTGGTGTGAAATGGTCTCATTATGTTTGTGCATGTGTATAAATTTGTATTCACATCACATTGTTGTATATCTGTATAAAATAGTCATACATGAGTGTATGTAATTACATGTAAATAAATAGGAAAATATATTTCAAAGTCTAATAGGTCATCATTACCCTATTGTGCTGGTCCTGGCCATCTTTCTCAGATCTCAGCCTCCTGAGTAGCTATGATTACAGATATAAGCCACCAGCACCTGGTCTACCATTACTCAAATACAAACAAGATATCTTAGTGGAGCTTATCAAAATTATGTAACTTTTTCAATATTAAAGAGTAAAAATTCTACTACCCTTACTGTCTAAATCTTCCTCATTGAAAGGAAAATATATTCTCATTATCTTCTCTTTATGAAATGAGCTTGCTTAAATTAAATCATATATTTGAGGACTAATATTTTGAAAAAAAAGTTTCCTTTTATTTCCTGGATTTGTAATTTCTTGTATCCTCTGACCAAATGCTTACACTTCAATTTTGTTGTCACAAGTTTTCAGAGTCACCCCACAAATTCAAAGCTTCTGGCTATTTATGAAACCTCAAAGAAAAGCATATACTCAAACAATGGAGCAGAGTGCCAAAAAAAAAGATTACCTAAAAACGAGGAAGGGATGTAGACATAGGACCCAGGTAAACTTGGGGTGAAACCATTAGTGATTAAATAACCCATGCTGTACCCCAATAAAATGTCAAACATTAATGTCTAAATGTGTGATTTGGCAATGAAAAGGATATAGCATTCTTGCATTTCTTTATTGTGAATTTCCAACTATATCTATTCGCAATCATCAGCTCTCTAACCTTGTTTGAAATGAACCTTTACCCCTCATCCTTCACAGACGCAGGAGAGTTTCCTAGCTAACAATGGAAAAGCGAGAAATCCTCCTCTAGTTTTTTGGTCTGTTTCTTCAAGTATTTTCTGTAAAGGACAATGCTATTGGGTGGTACAACTTTTGAAAGGGGGGCCTACAGAGAGGTCTGGTAGTCATGTGAGGGATACCCTTGGCGAAATGGGACTCTACTTTCTCTTCCTCTTCAATTCCTCTCTGTGAGGTTTGTGATTCTATCCTACTCCACATTTCCCCCATGACTTTCTGCCTTCTTACAAGCTCCAAAGTATTATTCTTAATATAGATGGATATTGAATTTCTGAGTGCTTTTTCTGTACTTATAATTATTGTTGTATAGTTTATTAACTTTATTATGTTGGATTACATTGATTTTTTAGTTAATATGGTATCCCTTAGATAAACTCTAGTTGGTTGTGGTACTCTGGCTTTTCTATATATTAGTGAATCAATTAGATTATATATATATATATATTTAATTTTATTTGTGAACATACTGTACAGAGGGGTTACAATTACATGGGCAAGATAATGCATACATTTCTTACCAAGCATTGCAGCCTCCTCCTTTGTTTACCCTTCACCTCCCTTCCCAGCCTCCCCCCTCTAGATTATATTTTGTTAAATATTTTTATATTTCTGTCATGATAAATAGTAGACTATGATTTTACTTTTAATGCCTTTATGAGTTTATAATACTGAATTACATTGGACTTATAAAATCAGCTGAGAATTTCTCATTTCTCTCATTTTTGGCACGACTTTTCTGTGTTTATGTGTATAAGTCTAATATATTTTATTTCTTAAAGTATTTTAATAATGCTCATCAATGAAGTTATTGAAGTGCGAACTTTTTTTGGTAGAATTTTTATAACATGCAATTTATTTGATACATTAATGTCTATATTCAGTCATTCTATTTTTCTCTAATACATAGTGTTATAAAGCATAGTGTTTATGGTCTAACTCTTGATGTGTGACTAAATGATACTCTGTAACAAAAGGGTTACAATAGATATCATTAGTGTTATGGGTTTTAAAGTTGGGAAATTAGCCTGAACAACCAAAGGGGCTCAGTTTAATCATATGAGTTCTTAAAAAGCAGAAAAATTTCTAGGGTTGAAGTCAGAGAAAGGTATCCGAGGAGTTCCAAGACAGGTAATTATAGACTTTTACCAGGACTTCAGTTGTGCAGCCATAAACAACTGAGTTGTACTTAGAACCTCAATGGTCTTAGATATAGAATCTGGATAAGAATCCATCCTAACCAGTACATTCATTGGGACTATAGGGACAAATACGGACTAAGCAGAGTGACCAGAGAATCAAGTTATACTATGTCC